TGCTGTGCTTTAAAAATATTGTTACTGGCGAGAGCCAGGGTTTGCGGCTTTAATTGAGTCGAAAAGAAAGACGCTAAAGTTCGTGGAAGTTAGCGCGCTTCGGGGTTGTTACGAGGCGCTTAGCGAAACGGTGTGTTGCAAAGAAGAGTAAATTCTTCTTCTTCTATTCTTTTCTCTTTTTTTCTTTTTTTTTTTTTATATTCACGTTTCCGTGCTCGTTTAGGAGATGTAAATTATGGATTGACTTGTGGGTAAAGTTTGAAGATAATCAGATTGTTAGTTGTATAAGTTTGAAATTGACGTAAGCTCGTAATTTAAGGACTACAAATTAGAAGTTGATAGTCGCAGTAATCTAAGCTACATATAAATTGGTGAATTTGAGACAATGGTAAATCAAATGCCTCTCTTTCCTTTTTCGAAACTGAGCCATACTTTGAGTTATTTACGTTGTTTACGTAGTCATATATATCAAAAGACACATACGAACATAAAGCTATACTCATTTTTCTGTTTCTTCTAATTTATGAGGATAATCAGCGACTTGGAAGCTCGACTCGTATGTAATTGAAAGTGCTGAAATAATTTCTACGTTAAAGCGTTTCTCTAACCAAATAATCGCAATGACGATGTAACGTTAATGTCTCAAAAAATTCCTTCGATTAAATAATTGCAATTCGCCTTGAACGAAGCACATTTTCCGTCCCAATCGTATTTCGTAAAGTCTACGCACGAATATTTACTAGACATGTACTCGTAACCCAGGAAACGATCTAACAGTTTTTACTTTCAAATCTGGAATTCTGTAGGTGGACAGCCCTGTAGAATCGACATCGTGACTTTGGACACGAATCGATTTCCGAGCGCGATGTAAATGCTGCCGCAGGACAATGGGAAGCGAGCGAACGATGTCGTCCTTTATGGCGAACGCTGACCTCCGCGATCGACAAAAACAGCGCCAGTGGAATCAGGCCTAAAAGAGGAGCGTGCCAATGCGATCGACTTAATCGATTCCACGTCGGACAAAACTGCCACCACGATGTCTCAATCTACTTTTGCTATTCGCCGATGTTTCTCGCGTGAACGTAAAAACTTGAATTTAAATCGTTATTTAGGTAGAGTTTCAACAAAAGTTAAGGGTCTTCTCTTTCTATCCCACTAAGTTGAAATGCTATTCGCAGCTATGACATTTGTTTCGATTTTTATAATACATTGCATACAGAGACTGTACGTAACAAGAAGTAAAAGTATACGTCTGTGATGGGAATATTTATTGGGAATGAACGAATGTGTCATTCGTGATAAAGTTTGGAAAAATCAGGTACAAATATTTGTACGTTGTATTTATTATAGCACCTATATACCAATTAATGATAAAAAGATGTTTCAATAGAAAATCAGACTATGTGCAAATGTTTTTCTATAGCCACTATGTGTTAGATCGATGTAAAAGTTCATTTATTTTTCTATAAACTACTCTAGTTTCTATATCGATATTTTTATTAACTACGGAAATATATATAAAACTATTATTGTTCTGATAATTATTAATTTATCGCGCTCTGCATCATACGTTATATTTTACGTTAAAATATTCTATAGAGTGACTCGATTGATTTTCATATTCTTTATGCCAATCACAATGTGCCTTATAATTGTCTGTACACGTTAGAATAGTTTCCACGTCACAATTGCTCGATGTGTTCCATGTTGTCGCCCTAATTCTCAAACAAGTCGGTATTCGCGCCAAACCTCGAGCTGAGAGATAAACAGCGTGCTGCCTTCGCTATCCACAAATATTTACTCGGGTTATATCCGCTTCACGCGGTTTCCAGAGTCCCTTTTGTACCAGCAAATCCTTCTCTTCCAGAAGTACGATAGTCCAGCGTTGAAACCACTCGAAAAAGGACTTGTATCCCTCATACTATTTTACTATTATTTTTATGGTAGAATTGATCGGTAAGTTTTACAAATTTGAAATTTTATATATTTCATGAATTTTCTAAAATGATTTAAAAAATTAATTGATTCATTGTTGAGAACAGTGCATAGAATCAGGTTGAAAATTTAAATATATGACGTAGTTAAAAAAATTACGTACAATGAGAATTTTATTTCGGAAATGATATTTTATATGCAGAGCGATAACAGAAAATTTTATTCGTTAAAATTTCGTAGGATTTATTAGTAGCTACGATGTTTCAAAGAAAGTTCTTTTTTTAATGAAACGAATTATAATTTTCCATTCGGCGGAGTTTGGGTAGTAAAAATAATAGAATTCCTGAAGACTGGTTTTTCTCAGAAAAGGGAAGCTTCAGGAAGATATGTCTTGAATAAAATATTACGTGTTTCTATTAATCTTTAATAAAAAGCTTCTTTTCTTCTAAAGCGAGTTATTTATAATTTCGTGCTTTCCTTCTTATACGAATATCGGTCTTGAAATATATTTTTAATCTTCATAAGAATATACATTTAAATTTAAAAACTTTACTTCATAACTATTCTCTGAAATATATCCTTCGAATATAATATTTTAATTAATTAAACTCTGTATCCTATTTGCTCATCGCTGTTTCGAAGTCATTAAATTGCAGCTTTTATTAATCTTCCTCGTCGTGTTGCAGAAAGAAAGAAAAAAGAAAGAACGAAAGACTTTTTCAAACTGTATAAGACGGCGCTGCTAGTTCGTCTTCGATGGAAAATATATTTCTAACGAAATTTTCGCGAACGAAATTTCCTTCGCAAGATGCTTCGTTCGAAATCGTCGTTTCTCGCGTTGCACGATCATACGCGGGTAAGTGTTCGCAGTAGAGGGTGAAAAATACGACTTCGTCGAGAGAACGGTCACGTCTAGCAGGAAGTCCGTCTTCTAGTTTCGAGTTATATCGTTTCTCTCGACGTCGTGGTGTTTGAATATTCTTCAACTTCGTTTCGTTCGGACTACTTATATCATCCCCTTCTGTAGCTCTCATTTCGATTCCTATGGTCTCTTTCTTTTTACTTTCTGATAACGCCAATAGTCTCGTTTTTACATCGCCCGAATTATCGGGATTTCTTCTTTATTTTTCTTTCTTTTTCAGGGGAATGATAAGAGTTAGTTTGAATCGTAACGATTGCGAGAGACACTCGAAAGGTGTCTTAATTTTTTGATTTGAAGGGTAAAGGTTATTGGAAAAATTATCACTCGCAAATATTCCATATGTCGGAGTCAGGTTTGAATTTTGGGAGGGGGGGG